CCCCCCCCCCCGCTCCCGCCGGAGCCCCCGCTGCCTAGTTTTCCCATGCCCACGTGCTTCTCATTCAAGCTTCCACCCGACCCTCCTCCAGCTGGTCCTGATGCTGCGTCGCCCCCGTCACCCACGCCAGGGCCGGCAAACGCCGGCGTGAGCGTCAAGGCGTCTACGCCCTGCCCGGGCTGCTGCCAGAAGGGATGGTTATTGTTAAGACGATAATGAGAACACTGCGTACTTATTTCAGTGATGAATATTATTCTGCAAGCCTGGCACAAGGAATGACTGCTGTTGAAATAATGATAAAACGTGCGCTTCATTTACTCCGCATGACCAGACCAGCACGTTGGCTAGCAGAAGGGGTGGTTATTTAATTAAAACAGCACAAAATTTGACTCGCTCGCCACGACTCTTAAGGTGGGAAGGAACGAAGGAACGGTCCCCGATCCAAGGCTTTTCAAGATAAGCCCAAAACCCTTGAGCACTTTGATCCGCCGACAAGACGATGCCAAGACTGTCCTCTATCCAGTGGTCAGCCTGGTGTGTAGCGCGGTCGATGCAAACATTAAACATGCCACCCACAAAAATAACAGAAACACACACACAACACGCACAGATCATGGCCTTTAAAAGCATTTCGTGTTTTCAACCGCATCGAGATCGACGTCATTTCATTGGTGAGCCGGTTAGCGTGGTCGATCCCAACAATCAAAACCACACAACACACACATACACACACCAGTGCCTGTGGTAAATTGGGAGGAGTCATAGGGAGCGATTGGAACGTGGCACTCGTGTAATGTCAACAATATCACGCGCTTCGACCAGCAGATGGGCCAACAATTGTGACATCTACAAGAATGGGCTTGGTGCAGAGATCCTATTCTTCATCTGCGTGTAATCCTTGGGGGATCACCAATTCCATCTTGTAGGGCCCTTTTCCCCAACCAGTGCCTGTAGTAAAAGGGGAAGAGTCTTGGACAGCGATTGGCATGTGGCACTCGCGTAGTGCCTTCAACATCATACGAACCATCTTGTTGTGCAGGAAGATCGTTCGTATGATGTTGAAGGCACTACGCGAGTGCCACATGCCAATCGCTGTCCAAGACTCTTCCCCTTTTACTACAGGCACTGGTTGGGGAAAAGGGCCCTACAAGATGGAATTGGTGATCCCCCCAGGATTACACGCAGGAGGTAGAGAATAGGAACTCTGCACCAAGCCCATTCTTGTACACGTCAAAATTGTTAACCCACCCGCTAAATTGTCGGAGCATTGACAAGTCAATCCAAACGCCAGGATCCGCCCTCGACGATCGAGCTGCAAGTAAGACAAACCACTACATGCGGGAACTGTCAACCCGTCTAGATCTACCGTCCTTGCCGCTGCTTCTTCAACATATGGTGGTCTTGGCAAAGGCACAAATCGAAATATCGTAGCTATCGCCAACCACTTATCAAGCCTTTTGGAAGGGGAATTTCGACGACGAAACAGCCTTACTTCGCCTGAAGGCTTACCATACCAGTAGGATTCGGAGACGGTTTGCCTTCGAGCTGGCTCGTTTTCTGTCAGTACGAACTCGTGATATTTTCAAACGTCACGTAGTACTGATTGATCAATTTCCACCACGGCCAACAGGTTGGGATCTCAGTACAGTAGTGCAGATAAAAACCATCATGATGAAAATGAGGGAAAATTGTTCGGCAGCGATGAAGAAGGAGGAGAGGGAACGCGAGGAGGACAATACAGAGACCAAGGCAGCAGTCGAGGAGGGATTCATGGCGTGGAAGAGAGAGCAAGAGCTTCGAGCCAGGTGACCTTCCGCACAACAAACGACGCAGGGCCAAAGAAATGCCGAAAAATCGCTGTCAAAATGATGATGAGTCAAAGCAAGGAGGAAGATCGTGAGAACACTCCAAAACGAACTCGAGCGCAAGGTAGCAGCCTTGGTAGACACGTGCAGGTCTCTTCTTATGCTACTGTTTCTGTCTTTACTCCGGAGAATTGCCTAGCCTCTGCCATGCCGCCCCCTCACGGGGTCCCTGTTAATGCCGTTTATAAGTGTTAAGTGTTTTCAACCGCAACCGCAACGAGACTGACGCCTTTTCATCCGGTTAGCGTGGGCGATTCTAACAAAACAATACAGTGGGTGGCCCGATATTGTGCCGGTATGTGCAGAGAAAATTCACCGGCACTATACCGGGCACCGGCACTATTCAGAGTACAGAAAGACTTGATATTCCGGTGTGTGCGAGCCGAAAACACCGGCACTATACCGGCAACCGGCACTATATCGGGCCACCCACTGTACACACACACAAACACACCCCCCACGCTGCCCCCTCATGGGGTCCCAGTTCGTGGCAGATAGCCAGTTCATGGCAGATAGAAGAGTTTTGCGTTTTGACTGACGTCTTTTAATTGGTAGCGCGGTCGATGCCAATAATGAAGACACGCACGAACACACCTGCGGTGACCACGCGTTGCTGGCATGCGGCGTCGGGCTCAGCGACATGTTCGACATCGCTGTGGCCGCCTGGGTGCCGGGGGTCATGTGCCCACCGCCGGTAGCGGGAGCGCAGGCAGTGAGGGCAGGGTTTCCCATCATCCCGGGCCCCCCATGGGGTGATGGATAACCCGCCCCGCCTTGGAGTTCCGGGGTCACTGGCGACGAGCATGGGTTTGACGTCATGTGCGCCTGTAGGGGTACGGCAAGTGAGGGTTCCGGCAGACGAGAGAAGGGCGATCGAAATGGAAGAAAAAAAAGCCGCACAAACGCGGGTCCCCACAGATGAGAAAAGGACCGTTACACTTACAGAAAAAAACGCCGCACAAGCAGATGAGAAAAAGGGCCGTTACACTGAAAGAAACAAGGCGCACACTACGCACAAGCGAGGATCCCCGCAGATGAGAACAAGGCCGCAGGATCCTCGCGGCTAATGAAGATGCCAGCAAGGAACCCAGGACAATCTGGGATGTAAGCAACGCAGCAGTTCGGTCGACGATCCTACACTGAACTGTCTCTAGAAAATACGATATCTGGTACCTACTCGATACACGATAGTGGTGGTGACGAAGCAAAATATACGGCGTCCATCAAACAAAAAATAAGCAAAACCACCACACTTTGGTAATTTGATCGTTCATTGAGCCAGCCTTGACAACAAGCACCCACGAAAGAGACGGCGACCAATCTAGGCGGCGCGCGCCATCTATCTCACCGGGACCACCTTCGCTTGTTCGGCGTTCTCTTTAGTCTTGACCCCGGGGGGATGGTGACGGAAGTGCTGCCCGTGGATCTCGTTCACCCCGTGCATTTCGTAGTGAGGCACCTGGGTTTTTCGCCGTTTCGTTTCAAACGGAACCAAACGGAACTAGCAAGATTGATTGATTGATAATAACGATACTTTTCGCTTTCGCGGCAGCAGTGAGGCACCGGAGTTTTTCGCCGTTTCGTTCCAAACGGAACCAGAAAGATTGAGAACGCCTCTTTTCGAATTCGCGGCTAGTGGGGCACCTGGGTTTATTGCCGTTGCGTTTCACATGTACCAGCAAGATTAACGCCTCTTTTCGCGTTCGCGGCTTGTGGAGCACCTGGGCTACCGCCGTTTTCGATTTTCAAGTGGTCGTGATAAACGTCTCTCCCGGTGGATCACCCGGGTAACCGTTTTGTTTATAAAGTGGACATGATAAATGCCTCGCCTCAGTGGAGCACCCGGGTTACCATTTGTTTCTAAAGTGGCCATGATAACCGCCTCTCCTAGTGGAGCACCCGGGTTTTACCCATTCGTTTCAGACGGACCGGAAGAAACGCCTCTTCGCATTCGCGGCTAGAGGGGCACTTGGGCTACCGCCATTATCGGTTCAAACCGACACCACAGAAAGCGTCTCGCAAATTGTAGGGGTCCTGGGTTTGTTGCTGTTGTCGTTCGAAACGGACCCAATCTATGCCTCCTGGCATTCTCTCGCGGTCATCTACCATCAGCAGTCTACCCGAAAAGCAGGTCATCTATGCTGAGCCTCCTACCCCAAGCCGGCGGTGCTCGGGCGGATAGCACGACCAGTCTCGACGGCAAACGCTTACCCCTTTTCACCTCGCAAGCAGAGCGAGACGAACAATTAATATCACACACACACACAGACACACGTATAACCCCGCCGACGCAGGGGATCGACGTAATCCGAGCGAGGTCCAACGGCAGGCAGCACCCTACCGACCGAAGAAAAGTTTCCCTGACTGTTGTAGCACCAGCTGGCATCACTCATAACAATCAAGTGTATAGGCTCAAACGGACTCAACCTACACCCAGGATCCAGCCGGTTATCCTCCACTCACTATAAATGACTTGTGACCCATCCACTTGACCACGGTTACATCCCGAACGGGTAGTCTTCCTGTATAATATGGACATCTGGTTGAAAGATAGAAAAATAAATCCCACTCACTGTAGGAGACTTTTGACCCATCCCCTTCGACGGCGGTTACATCCCGTATAGTCTTCCTGTAATCACCATGACATTTTCTTGAAAAAAATAAAAAAGAAATTACCTTGCCCTTCTTGACCTCCCCAAGAAGTTCGGGGCGTCCCCTCTGGAAAAACGGGTGCATGTACGCGCCCGCGTCCGGCCCCTTGATGACCTTGCGGTAGCCATAGAGGTTCAGTTGCCTCCGGAAGGAGCTAAACTTGTTGTGGCGGAAGTACTGCGCGTGTTCGTGAAACCGTCAAATTTTTGAAACCGCCCGTTGATAGTTTCAAAGTCCGGGATTTGGACAGTACGCAAAAGGGCAGCACAGGAAGGCAAATAAAAAAATGGGCCGGAGGGGGGGGAGGTCATTTTTCAGGATAAGTCAATGCCTTCGGTGCTTGACAAAAGTCCACAGGCGTCCGATTAGTGTTTTTGCAGCATGAGAGCCAGAGCGTAGCAGCCTGGGGATATACTCCGCCATCAACACATTTCTGGCTTACGGGAAATAGGTATATAGATGGCTGGCGGAACATTGCAAGCGTGTGCCGCTCACAGACAAACATGACTTGGCGTTATTTTTCTGTGGACGTCCTTCTCGTTGCAGTGGGTAGGGTACATACGATAAAAATATCTCAGGCAGGCAGGAACCGCAGGAGGGGGTCCAACCCCCCCTACCTATGTGACCCCGGTTGGGTCGTCTAGCTGGTAGAAGTGGAGGATAGGGACCAGAGGGGCAGACGACAGAGTCCAATGATGGGAGACAAAAAATATATATATAATGTGGATACCTAGATATGGATCTTCTCTGACAAAGTACGTACGCACATACAGACCTAAAGAGCCTCGGATTTGTGTGTGTCCACGATGGCATGCCAACACGAGGGGCTCACTCTCGAACCAGCCTAAAGCCGAGACCCACTCGGTTGAGCTTGGCTATCCTCGCCACATAGCACCAAAGAACATAAGCCTTTGCCAGTAGTGGGTAAATCCCACACGACACTGAGACCTCCCTCTCTCTCTTGTGAGAGGGGTGTCCACATTGGCGTTCGACCGAAGAGATTTNCTCAAGGAGAAAACTGATCTGTACTTGGTGCACAGTTGAAGTATTTCTTCGCATTGGTTTGGTGAGAAGGTAGTGGATTGGAAAGCTTTCGATAATGCTTTTTCCAATTCTTGACGGTGTTTTGCCGTCTCTTCTGCTGTCGTGGTGTTTACGCTACTCGTCGTTTGCGGCAGCACAGCTTTGACAGGCCGTATGTAACCCAAAAGAGTGTTCCGTTGTATCCGTACAAGTCGGTTAGAGGGGTTGGCAATTTGAACCATGGCGCCTCGAGGCGACCAGTTACACACTGTACGCGCTACTATCGCTCTACGGAACGCTTGCGGTGCGCTCGACGCTTCCATATCGTCTTCTGTGGCGATTCGCGGTTCGACCAGAGCCGTGATGGTTCTGTCGGGTGCATCGTTTGCGTGTATCTCTACTGCCATTTCATGATGAGCGGGTATTGTGCACTTCTTTGTTAGGTACACTGGTATCGCTTGTGTATCGCTCTCTAACGCGACTACTGAACAGTTCATCTCTGATTCTTTGGATGTGGGCAGACGAGTTTTTCGGTGTTGGGCAGGTATTTTCACCTTTGATGTCTTGAAGGTCAGCTGTTCCGCTTGCCAATCAAGTACAGCACCGAATGCACCCATAATACTATTATCTAGTAGCATTTTGTCAGGTCCCAGCGACGGAAGTACGAGCGCTTCAACAGGCAGGGTAATTTCTCCCAACGTTAAGTCAAAACGGGCGTATCCTTTGAGTTTGAGAGGCGAACCATCTGCACTACGCAAATTGATTGCCCCGGGAGGCACGGGTAAGATCTCCGTGTTTTTCAGCGTTTGGTGTTTCCGCATGAACTGATGCGAGATACATGGAATATCACACGCTGTATCTATCGTGATTTCATCAACCTCAAGGTTGTTTATGCTGGCGGGCACACGAACCCGACGCGACTTTGTCTGTAATATGGACGGACCCACCGGGTACCCCGCCAATGCAGACATGTGGAAAGCTTGGAATTCAGTCTTGTTATGTTCAGCCGATAATAAACGCGATCGATGCTTAGACGCAGTTACACCAGTTACAGCAGCAACGTGCAAGGCTTGCGGCGCTAGGTCGACCGCTTTGGCAACTTTGTTAGTTACTTGTCCTGCTTGGATGCTATTTTGTACTGCGTTTCCTGAGTTTACAGCTACTACAGCAGTGCGCCTGTCCGACTTTCCTACTGTTTTACGTTTTCGAGCTTTCTTCTTACGGTTCGCCAGCGGTGGGGCACTGCTACAGCAGTGTTGTTCCCTCCCGTCTACTCTAGCTTGGGTGCTTACGTGCATGGTTACCGCGTTTGAACACCCCGGTTTCGCAAAGCTAGACGACGGATGTCCCAGGTCGGCGGAGGGACGACACCTACTTGGGCAACCCTATCCCTGAGAGTAACCCTCGGCTTGAGCCAATGCTTCCAGCCTGCAGTTAGCCCGCGTGTGAGTCCAGCGGTTTACACTCGACTTGCAAGCGAAAAAGTCACACGGCTCGTCAACCTGCTTCTTGCGTCCTTTCGCTACTGCATCGGGCTTAGAGCCAGATTTGAACGACGCTTTAGATTTGTTAGAGTCCCGTCCGGTTCCGCCCGATCGGGAACGAGGGCGTTTGTCGCCCCCTCCGTTCCGACCGTTGTCACGCCCGCGCTGAACACTTGAGACGTGTTCTTGTTCGGTCTCAAGGTGAGAGACACGTTGCTCCAGGCGAACCGCGAGATCTTCGAGCTGTGGGTTATTATGGTAAAGCGAGGACACCGAAGTGGCAGACGAAGGGACGGCAGAGCTGTGAGAGGGGTGTCCACAATAATTTATATATGTACGCCGAAAGGCCTGGAAACCGGCGCCAGAACAGATGGGACAAACACACACAGCCTCCCACATGCCGCCCCCTCACGGGGTCCCAGCTCATGGCATTTACCAGTATTTTGTGTTTTCAACCGCATCGAGGTTGACGTCTTTTCATTTGTCAGCCGGATATCGAGGCCGTCGATGCTACTAAAAAAGAAACACTCACACACGCACACACAGAGACAAACTTGTTTGGAACATCAACCCGAGTCGCATCCTCCCGCGAGGACCAACCACAACGGAGGGAGTGCACATTTTAGTTTTCAGTCTCTTCATTTTTTCCTTGCGCGTTTTTTTTTTATGTTATTAATTTATTTGCCTCTGTTCTTGTCGCGAGACAGATGCAGCCGTTCCTCTTCCTCAACGGCCACTGCTATGCAGCACAGCCGAATTCGCTGTTGCGCGCACACGAAATACTTCTGTATTCCGAGATACGCATACGAGACACCGCAAAAAATGTCAGTCGTTACGTCGCAGTTGCGCCAAAACTGTAAATAGTAGGGTTGGGGGCTGGAATGGTAGGTACAAACAGTATTCTTTCCGGTTCCTAGGACCGGCTCAGAGGGGTGCCAGTACAGCCAGCACTTCCGAATGCTACGTACGTCCCACATGGAAACACGGCGTGTTGGAATTGCGCCGCATGAGAGGGTGAGAGAGGAGCGCAAGCACGAAGCACACACGCCCGGACTCGAGGGAAGGTGCAACCGCGCAATCGATGGACAAATTTGTCACCACAGTAGCAGCGATGTGCCTGCCGCACAACGGGGCGGAGGGGCTCAGAGTCCAGAACCACGCGCGGCCTCGAAAAAAAAACAGCCGGGTCTTTTTGACTCATAATCTGTAGAACAGCCGTGATAAGAGTCAGGTCTGTTTTTTCTCCCCAGCAAAAGATGCAGGCTGGCGACCAGCAGCGTGATCTTAACTACGTGCCTTCCACTTTCAATGTCTATAATGCTGAAAAAAACGAAGCACGCAAACTTGATCAAGAAAAATGCGCACCATCTTGATGAACAATGAGAACCATCTTGTGAAGGATTTCAAGATGAAGATGGTTTGGAAGCAGCTTCATGATGAACATGTTGAATTCGATGCTTGTGTCACAGCCAGCCAAAGCTACATGCTAAATCCGATGCTTGTGGTCACACACCCAATCAAATCTTGAGAGAGAAATTGCCAGCATATTGATGATTTTTCAAGGATTTCAAGGATTTAGTCCCCGACTCTGGCATCGTCAAAGTGACCCCCAAATCACGTCGCGGCCAGTGTACTGATAAGTGTCCAGTTAACTGGCTGGTGCAGGCAGTATTCCTGAGAATGGCCCTGCACGCCACCAGTCCCCGACCCTAGTAAATAGTGCTCTAAGCCCCCCCCCACCGCCCCCCGACACAAGCTCCTTAATGTAGTGTGTTTGTTTTGTTTGTTTGTTTTTCTCCCATCATTGGACTCTGTCGTCTGCCCCACTGGCCCCTATCCTCCACTTCTACCATATAATAGCTAGACGACCCAACCGGGGTCACATAGGAGGGGGGGGGCTGGACCGCCTCCTGCGGTTCCTGCCTGAGGTATTTTTATCGCGAGAAGGGTAGTCTACAGCAATCCCTTCCCTCGCGACTTACGAAGTCGATTAGTGTGTTAATTTAGCATGCGACCGCGCAAACCGGTTCACCGAAAAAGTTGGTGCATGCGTATGTGTTGTGTGTGCATGGCATGCATCCCAGCGGGTGGATGGATATGGGCGGTTCCGTGCTGCGATCTGAATGAAGATCCCCCCCCTTTTCAGAGAATGTGTGTTTGCAGGGAGCAGTTTTTTTGGCGTACGGTGCCTGCTACCTTCCCGCAATCACGTACATGTGTGTACGACTTGGCTTTCGAGGTGCCCCACCAAAAACTCCCGCGAAAAATCCACATTTCCACGTGGCGGAAACCGACGAGAGAGTTATGACTCCGATTCATGGGTACAACTCGGATGTACGCCTCCGTGTAGGTCTGAAGCGACGATTATGCAGGTGACCGGCGGTCGGCAAATACTAACGTTGTGCAATACTTGGCAAGCTCTTCCCAACTCCAGGAGGGGACGATCGCTGACTGAGGTTGTTGACTTGCCTCGCCACTGCTCGCTAACCTTGTCGATAGGCGCCTGGATTCGGATCTGGGAAGAGGGTTCTTCTTTGCTCCTCCTAAAATGCCCAAAGGAGCAGATACATGTATCACACGATTACTGCTGTACATGGACGGACTAGCTTTCCCACCTGCACTATATATACCATTTGTCCAGTTTACGCCAACCTAGACAGCACTTACCCCCACGGTACGATGAGACCTCACAACAATCGGTGTTGCTATTACTAAACTCCGCCAGGAGGGTTCGTGAATGCTTGTACATTCGGGTGTCCCTGCCGCCCACGGGCATCCCCGCAATGAGATCGGCCCCAGATGACATACAGGGGCCAAAACCGCAACGATTGGCAGCAGCAGGCACAGTGTCGAGCTAAGTCAAGCTCATAGTCTTCAACTCATTCACCCATAACGCACGGTACGCATACATGCGTACTGCCTGCTTACTCCTCTTCGGTGCACACTACACGTTTGCCGCGCGAATGTGCACACTTCCACTTATCAGCGTACTTCGTACTCTACACATATAGACGTACCGTCCGGGATCACGCAGGAGGGAATACCCACGCCGGGTTTTTTTCTTCCATTTATCTTCTTTTGTCCCCTCCTACCTCCTGCGTCCAACAACCCGAATCTGCCGGTAGGTTGAACCACGAATCACTCACCCCGACGTATTTTAGTGTTTCCGAAGCGCGATTTCTCGGCAGGGAAACCAGCGACGGCGCATTGAATAGGGGCATTGGAATGGTCTCGTCTAGAGCTTTCCGAAATCGTTTACTTCAACTTCGGCATTCTCTTTAAAGTGGAGTAATCGAGCTTTGAACATCGGTCCTGGGGCTGTGATAAGATACGGTACGTGACCTATCCTACGGTGGGCGGACAAACACATTGGCCGGAACCGAAAAAAAAAAAATGAAACATTTCGCCGCGGGGACGCATCAGAGGCGATACATCAGAGGCGATACACAGCAGGGACCTCACAAAAACCGCATGGGTCCAGCAGAAAGATCAGCAGAGGTCGGTCTGCATCATCGGCCGGTCTGCATCATCAACAACTACTGGAGGCTAGCAGAGCATGCGTGGGGGGCAAACTTGAACACCTCGCCGTTGTTACATCTGTTTTTGCGCGGTGTTTCCGCGTTTGGGAATCATGGGATGGTGATTTGGAATGTTGTAGCGGGAGTGCACGATGAATAGCCGTGGGTACGAAAACGCTGCTGCTGCTGCTGCTGCTGCTGCTGCTGCTGCTGCTGCTTCCAAGAAAAATTTCAACAATAGCATACGTTAAACGACACACCAACCGACATTACCTTGAGAAGAATTTCCTCGGAAAAGCGGGTGTAGTCCACGACTTGGAAGGCCTGACCCGATTTCGTCCAGGTGATGATGTCGCTCGACTCCTGCGACAGGATGTCGTAAAACTTCACGGCAAAGCCTCGCCCCGCGGTAGTGCGGGGACCTGCCCGCCCCGCCGGCGATACAACAAGAGGACTCGTGTTGCGGTCAAGAGGGCAAAACAAAAACGGGGGGGGAAAGGACGGCAGAGACCGCCGGCTCTCCTTCACCCCCTCCTCCGCCTCTCCAACAGCAGCAGCCAGCGCGCTAGCAAGCTGCCGCTGAAGGGTGGGCTTCCGACAGGAATTCTACGTGTTGTGGGCTACCCCGTCTCCGAACTATACGAAACGAATGAATCGACCCATGTCACCTTGCGCTGAACTATTTTTCAATTGCTGGTGTTCTTGGACGTGTTTTTTTTGTACCTGGGCGCTGCATGGAACGCGGGAGGTGGCCAACCGACGATGCGCCTGCTGAGCTCTCCCCCGAGGATCTGCGCCGGAAAAAGGACGGGGTGGAGAAGTGAAACCGCGGGGGGACCTGCAGGTATCTCATCAACTGCAGGAGGAAGAAGAGCTAGCTGTGCTGCTGCTGCTGCTGGCGCAGGCCGCGTTTGTGTTGCAGTTGGGGATGCTTATCTGGCGGCACACCAATTTGGCACACCACGCTCTGCCTGCGGTGCCCTGCTGTGTGGTAACTGGATATTGCATTCTGCGGCGCCCCCAGTCCGGGGCTTTGGCTGAGCGAGGCTCACCGCTCAGCCCATGGCGGTGGTCTCTCTGCTCTTTGACGGGATGGCGAAACAAGGGGACGAGGTGGACGCGCTCCAGGATTCGATCCGCGAGATGATGAGCAACTGCGAGTCGATGCAGCACGAGATCATGGCGCTGCAGGTGTATTGAGGGTTTGTGAATTCAAAATCCTCAGAATCCAATGTAGACTATATGTACATCTCACAACCTCCCAGTTGCCACATGTTTTGTTGTTGTTGTTGTTGTTTCTTATACTAGCTCTATACCACAAAAAATCGGGAGCCCGTGGTCTCAAAACCCGGCACATACGACGCATTCGGAAAAAGAAAACGACATGATAAAAAAGAAATGACAGCTACCGCACCGACCGCTCGAGAAGAGAGCCCTCGGAAACCGATCAAAATAATTTTTTGTATCTGCGGTACAACGGATATTGCAATGGCGGCGGTATCTTCTGCAGCCACCGTCTTTGGGACTTTGGGATCAGACTGTGAACTATGCGAATCCAGACAGAGTGAGTTTTTTTTCTCACTAGATATATATCCTGATCTAGGATGAAAGCGACGCGTTGCAAAGCTCGTTGTTAGTAAACCATAATCGACTTCGTAAGTCGCGAGGGAAGGAATTGCACCCTGCTCGCGATAAAAATACCTCAGGCAGGAACCGCAGGAGGGGGTCCAGCCCCCCCCTCCTATGTGACCCCGGTTGGGTCGTCTAGCTAGTAGAAGTGGAGGATAGGGGCCAGAGGGGCAGACGACAGAGTCCAATGATGGGAGAAAAAAAAACAAAAAAGGGCGTAAACTGTGCATACGGCGGTACTGCTGTATCTTGGTGACGGCAGTAAGGTGCAAGATTTTCACGAAGATTTTGTGCCGGCGAACTATTTCCTGCCTGTGGACGAAAGAGACGGATGTCTTCTATCTTGTTGTTGTGCTCATCATTGCCCTCTCCCTGTCCGTCTTGAACAACAACAACTCGATGTGCGTGCGTACATCTGGAAAAGTACCATACTTCCTCTGTATCATAAGTTAGGGTACCTAAATGCAATAGATTGTCTGGGTGCAACCGTGTTAGTGATGGTAGCATAGTCGGGTTTGTACGAAAGATATAACAAAGACGAAGCGATGGGAAAAAAGAAAAACAAAACGAATATCTATTTCTGCATCTACTATTGGTCAAAATGTACCCTAATTTGGCCTGTTTTGGGAATATTTTTGAGAAAATATTTTGGGATATTTTTTGAGAATTCTCGACAAAATTCTCAAATCCA